GTATGTATATATTTCTTAAAATATATTTATAAATACACAGTACACACACATATTCCACAAAACTAATTTTTAGTCTGGATGTGATTAATCGATTTGACAGCCCTAGTATTAAAGGGGTCCTATTATGCTTTTTCACTTTTTCAACTTTAGTTACACCCCCAAAACAAAATCAAGACTTTGTAAAAGAGCATAATAGGACCCCTTTAACTCAATATTACAGGTTTTTGAAATATGGTAACTTTTTAATGTTGTGTAAGCTAATGTTGAGCAAAATCATCTGCTAAAATCTACTGGAGATTCAGATATTCATACATACGTATAACCACGGATGGAGAAGCGAAGTTAACTTGCTCTTGAGTGTTCACAGACCGACTCGGACCATTCCAATATGGCGGACGACTTACTTAGAAACAGCCACTAATTAGGCATCTATGTATTTCTATGTATGGTGTAGTCAATATTTAATTACATCTGTGTAGGTTGCCAAACAACCTAATAATACATCCAGAAAGACATCTAAGAGAAGTTATTGTTTATTTTGGATCCCTGTCTGAACAATTACCATAATCACTACCACTGAGTTACCGAAAAAAAAATGTTGATGCACCAGTTAGGCCAGCACCACAGCAGTACAAATCAGAAAATTAAGCTGGTAATTTCAGCAAAGTAAGCTCACAATTCAACCCCTCACTGACATTATACAGACAAAGATGAATTGTTAAACATTTAGAAGCACTGGTTATCACTGTTTGTTGAGGAGGAGGGGTGGACGGTGTGCCTAGGAGAGAAGCAGCAGCACACCTACCTTCTCAGCCTGGGCTTCCAGGGACTTCAGGTTGTTGGTCACAGTTTTCAACTCTTCCTCAAGCTCAGCGCATTTGCTGGTGTTTTACACATAGGTCGCAGAGGAGAGGAGGAGGAACAAGAGGAGGAAAGGTACATTGAGAGGAGGAGAACCAGAAGCAGGTTGGAACAGAGGTACATCAGGGAACCGGAAGAGAGGAAATGGGGGGGGGGGGTGGTC